GGGAATTCCACCTTGGCTTCAAGGTTGAAAAGCCTGGCTGATGAACCTTTGGACCTATGTCAAGACCATCCATACGCAATCATTGCCAGTGCTGACTGATGCCGACTGTCATGGTTTCAATTCCACTCACCTCACCCAAGCCATCGGGGGTTCTTCGTTGAAACAAACAAGATCGCGAGACAATTGCCTCTCACACCAAGCTGGAGCCCGGTGCTTGGGCAAGTTCACCTTCTTCAAGATATAGTGCGGATGCGGTTGACCCAACTTTGATCCCAAGGCCGAAGCTAGGTAGCTAGTGTGCCGGACTGTGGTTGTTGTTGTCCAAAAAAACACCCGTGAACACATGTTTCGACACCCACCGGGGCAAGCATCTCATGTTGTGAAAGAAGTTTAGTTGCAGTGAGGCCTGAGTCAGGGCGCAAGGTGAGTGCCAATTCCGCCAGGGCAGCTGCCCTCCAGCTTGGTCTTTCAAGGAAGGCTGCTGTTAGGACAGGAACAGAACAAGACGGCCACCTGAGGCTGCATGTCTTTAAGTAGATGGATTGAAAGGCTCCCCCAAAACCTACAGCCAATTTCAAGTCACCCCTGTGAGAAGCATGGAATGTGGACCTGTGAGCTGAATCTTCAACATGTAGTCGAACGGGTGAAAGTCGGCTTCCGCCAGTGAAGAATAGCAAGTTGACGCCAGTGTGTTGTTCACTTCTCCAAAGGGTGAAAACTCTAGATTTGCATGGGGCCCACCAATTTCATGTATTACCATGGTCAACCCCCCCAAACACTCCCCTAATCCGTACGCCACTCTACTCTCCCCTTCGTTTCGACCGGACCCACCCGTCCGGATCCGGACGCGTGGCCTCATAGTCTGGACCCTTTCCACTGGTGATCGACTCCACGAGGCGCGTCATCCGTGCTTGGCGCAAGTCCTCCTTGTGCTCCACCATCAGTCCGATATACTTCTGATCCTAAGAGACCGTCTATCCAGTTCAGAACGTGTCGTCTGCGTCTAGGAGTGAACTTGGAAAAGGGATGCACATGTAGCACATAGGAAATGTCGACGAAAGTGTCGATCTGAATTGACATGATGAGCAGCTCTTTAGACCATGGACTCCATGGACATCAAGTGCACAGTGGTGTTGGCAAAGGGAGAAGCCCCACCATTCATTTGGATCTCTTCCCTTGACTTGTGTTGGTCATTACAACACGTTGACCCTGAACAAGAACAGCTTTCTCAAAAGCAACATGTAAAATCTTGCCAAACATAGGCCATCACTACTTTTTGTACGGCCATGGAAGACTTGCCGTAGTATATACCCGAAAACATTGACATTGAGTCTGACCCCCAAATAAAAAAACTGTGCATCAAAAAAACAAAAAAAATTCTAATAAACGGCAACAATTCACATCGTGAAATCAACATCCTCGACGAATCAGCATTCCCAATTGCAAACAGTTGTATTGTATAAGACTGCAATGTCAGTTTCGAGGAAGTTTTCTTGGGCGCATCTTTTTGAAGTGCTTTTGGTTTTGCCAGGTTGCTCCCTATGGGGTTTGCTCCTGGCCTCTAAGGAGTGTGCAGCTCTTCAGTCATCCCCTACCAAAAACCTTACCCTAAATGCTTGGGTTTGGCTTTAGTTCGGCTGTTTTGGCTTGGATTGGCTTGAAAAAGCTGGAGGGGGTTGGGGGGAAGGTGCAGCGCCTCCCCCCAGCAGCAAACCAAGTGCCAAGCCACCAAAATGATACAAACATCAAACCAAACAAAATATGATATCAAAAACAAATTCACGAGAACCAAAAGCAAGCCATCAAAACCAAAACAACCCAAAGCCACATAAGCCACCAAAAGCCGAAGAACAAACATAATTCCAATAATTTGCACTCCGTTGCATAATCCCAAAGAGTTCACAGCCATCCACAGCTGAGAGGAGAAAAGCAGCTAATCTAAACTGGAGAGCTTGGGTTGGTGCCAAAACAGGGGACCTCTAACCACAGGATGTGTTGAGGGACCTCTTCTGCACTCTTTTTCTCAACTATATACCTTGGCTGTGATCCGAACGATAAATCTTGACAAAAGCCGACCTTCAAACAGTAAAAACCTCATAAAACACCCTGCACAAATCCATAGATGAACAGCCAGCCAAGCTACCAGGTGGTTTCTGGAGAGCCGGTCTGAGACACGAACATGTTAACCTAAGGTTACTACTAGTAAGGCACTTGTTACTAGAAGCGATGCACTTGTTACTAGTAGCTTCTTGTTACTACTAGTAAGGCCCTTGCTCCTAGTAGCGATGCACATCATTTTTTTCTCCCCCCACACCCCAAAAAGAGCGCACCAAGCGGTTGCAGCTTTCGATGGTTTCAGGCGACGCCAAGTGGCCCTTTCTCTGGTTGTCTCGATCTTCTTGTGCTTCAGCATCACCTCATTCCACCTGTTGGGCCCACTCTCTGAGAGGCTCCAGGCGGATCTTCTTGGTGGGGCTTCTTGGCAGGTCCAGGGAATGAAAGAGTGGCTTCAGCCGGAGTGTAAGTCGTCGAATTTCTTGTGTACACATATGTATATGTATACCTTAATATTATTAAACTAGAACCGGTTCCAGTGTGTCAGCAAGCGAACTCCCTCGGGTGCCGGCTTGTCGATGCATGAGGTTGTTTTTAGTCAAACTGAATAGAAATGGGATAGAACAACGACACGTGCTTTGCAGAGCCACGCGAACACGGGCGCTGCGCTGGGGCGTTTCAAAACAGAACACTGAATTTCATGACGCTTGAAACAAGGCCCCCTATGCCAAACGGGATTGTGCCGCCAGCTGACTATACACATATTTAAATTTTTTGAAAGAGGATTGCGACATCCTAATGCATCCTACCTACATCTACCTACCAAAAAGGGCCGGAATTCAAAACTCTTCTCTCCACGGGTGGTCGCCCCGCCTGTGCTGCGCTGGCGACTCGTGCGACGAGGCTCGGAGCCGCGTGTGGCTGGCGGCACCGCGGCTCAAGCCAGTGGTGAAGGCCGGGGAGACTTCGCCGGCCTGGTTGCGTTGGGAGGGGTTGAACGGGTCAATGGGGAAGTTCTGTTTTGTTTCACCCGGGCATTGCAAGGACACGAAACAATCACAGTATGTATCCAACTTATATATGACGTTGTAGGTCCTTCTGCTCTTCAAACATTTACATGCCAAACACCTTACAAGTTGGAGAAAAAGGCCATGACTTGAAAACACTGCACCAGATGCCAGAACACCCGGAAACACCTCGATCTGTTTCTTGAAACACTCCAGAAGCCAAGGAATTCAGAAGGACAAGCAACTACGGGTATATATATATATAAATACATATACATACACTATATCATGCATATATATATATATTACTATGTTATATCATGAATCATGCATTTTATAATTGTATATATATATATATGTATGTAATATATATATATATATATCAAATGACCGGATGGATGGTCTTCGTTTCCCCTCTTGCTGCCCAGCTGCCGAGGAGGCGGAACGGGACCAGCGGCCGTGTGGCACGGTGTGGGGCCGAAACTGCGCCGCCAGGGCCCTCGAAACGGACGACGTTCGCCGGTCGACGAAACGAAACGGTTGGTTAACACGAATTGACAGGGAGGTGTGGAACATTGTGGAACACAGCCCGCGTCACACAGGCTAAATTCTACGTCTCCTCTCTTTGAGGAGCTAATTAACAAATTCTGTTGAGTGAGACCACACACACCGCAAAATTCGCCCCCGAAACAAGAGTCAAGCGGCCACAAACGCCTTTTTTTCAATGTTTTTTGATGTTTTGAAACATTAGCAAGGTCGCTGGTCGATCGATCTCTCTCTCTCTCTCTCTCCATAGCGTTTCCCCTCTCTCCATAGTGGGGTCACATGGAGTAGCTTTTGAGAAACGTGAATGAGGAACCGCATTAAAATGTAATTGCCAACTATTCAGCTGTTCCGATCAGTCACCTGCGTTTCCAGACTGCTGGCTGTCTGCTTGAGCATCTTCCAGGCATCCAATCTTCGGGAAACCCGGACAAATAACTCTCAAAGGATCCACTGCAAACTTATCCCTACTTGGGTATCTGACCTCCAAATCGCCCAGCCTGTCCATGACCTTCATCTCTCCACCACCATCTTCAGGACCTTCTCTCGGCAAACGCCACCCTGGAAGCGCCCCTCTGGGGCAAATGATCGCGCTATCCGACTTGGAGCTCTGCATGGCCAGCGATCCGGCGGAGGCCAACGGCTGGGAGGGACAGCGAGGGTTGTTGACGCGTGTGAGGAGGAGATGTGCCACAAGCTGTTGGTGGAGCCTTTGAAGGTCAAAGGGGCTGTGAGATGCTTTGAGGGCTTCCATGTACGCAACATCTCTGAGATCCTTCCCATGTGGTCTCATTCTTGCCATCTGGCTCCTTGGCCTAATTTGAGCCAAGGTGGCGGCACATGACTCCCATCAGCACGAGGCATATTATATCATATTATAATTGACCTATTTGAGGCCTAACTTAGACACTAAGTGAAGAAAGAAAGGGCCTGCTCTCATGCTGTCTTCGAGTATATACCCCGCGAGAATTCTCACCTAACCACCAGGGTGGCAACACACGGGGGCACATAAACTCGGTTCTGGGGCCATAGGGCCAAAGAGCCCCTCTGAACTTGCGCTGGTCCGAAACGTGCCGCGTCCATAATCCTCCCGCGAACGTCGGCATGTCAAGGATCAGCCGGATCCGAATCGAAGAAGCAAAGAACCAACGAAACGATTCAAGCAGGGTTAAAACATGTTGAAGAACGCACAAATCTACATGTAGATTCTTGGATATCCTTGAATATTCTTATGTGGAAGCAGGATGTTAAACTACTCACGACCCATCGTGTCAAATCTTGTGGATCGCCTGAATCAATTGAATCAATGTTTCAATACATGTCTAGCTGCAGCTATCCCCCCCAAACTTTACCAATCCATGGGCCCAACAAAATGACCATCAGTCTCCAAGGCACCGCGAATTCGAGAGGAGAGAGGACCGAAGTAGCCCGTGGGGTACAACAGGGCCTGAGTTCGGTCCCATTTGTCTGGTGCGAGGCATGCGGAGTCCGCCCACAATGACCCTCCGCGTGCACGGTATTTTTGTCCGGAAAAAAAAACAGGCTCAGGTGTCACAGCTGAACAAATTGGGGAGATTCAATATATAAAAAGAATAGATCAATCCGGTCTGCATGCCTTGCATGCCTCCCGTGAAACAAGTGCGCATTCCGTGTGAGGTCGCTGCCATACATTGCACTCTTGGGTCTTAATATGTCTTAATTAAGAAAGGGAATGCAAGGGGAACGAGACTAGCTGAAAGAAGCAAACAGTTACAGTACATCATGATGTGCACATATGTGCACAGTACCTGCAAGTATTTGTTGGTGGATAAGTGGACATCCTCAACACAGAGTTCAACAACGATCACCAATTGGAACAAACCCAAGGCACGTTGGAAAGGAGTCCCTTACCCCATGTGTGCACCAGTGTCGAAGAACTTCACCAGTCTTCCAAGGCACGGCCACAATTGCCAAGGCGACCAACATCAAGCAACACATCCTGGGAAGCTGTGACTGCTGTGCTCGGGATGCAAAGCAAGTGTTCAGGCCTTCGAAAGACAGAACAAAGACCTTGATTTATCTGTAGACCTTGCGCCAAGCATATGCCAAGTATTTCTTAGGATGGATAAAAACATATAAAAACCCTGCACCACCTCAGGTACCTGTAGCCATTCGTCGAACCATGCAGCAAACATCGTTCAATCGGACATCTGCAGCCACGATTCATGATGCGGAAGCGCACGAACTCCCAAGTGCCCATGGGATCCTTCATCTTTTCTCTCCTGTGGGTGGGGTGAGATGGATATGGCTGACACCGACGGCCACGGCAGCCACTTGGAAGACACATGAAAACTGCAGGAGCGCTGGTGGGAGCCCTGCGAAGAACACACCAAAATCCGCCAGCGAAACTCCCTCAAGGGTTTCACGATTGTGTCTAGGACCAATGGTTTCCCCAAATGGGCTCTCATTATCACCTCCAGCTCGTTTTCTATTTTGGAAGGTCCTCCAGTTAATTACGATACAGGAAAGGCAAGACCGGCAAGACCCTTCAACTTAGCAGATCTTGAATTAGTGCAAATAGCATCACTGACCCAAATGCACATGCTTCCATACAGTGGGCAAGCTTGCAATTCGTGGAATCTCTGCATTAGCATGGAGATGCACTGCACAAATTCGAAGCTCTCGACCCTAGGATGAAGCCCACTTAAACCCAACAAGAAGCTAAAGAGCTCTATTCTTGGCGATCCAGTTGTATAATGTTGCATACCCTTGGAGATAGTAACGTTTGTGAGAAGCAGCCTTTTCCAACTTCATGAGCTTGGTTTTTGCATCCAAACATCTCTAACTCCTCGCGGATTAGCCGTTCCTCTCTCCCCTCCGGCAGGGCAGGCGCCTGTGGCGCTGGAAGTCGCAAAAGGCCAAGACCTGGTCTCCAAAGCCACTGGATGGGTGGGGATGGGAGGATCTTTGGAGTCATGAAAGCTTTGATCTGGATCTGGCCTCGAGAGTCAGCCCAAACAAACAGGATTCTCGGATTCACCAGTTCACATGATTCCTCATGATTCCTCAGCATTCCTTGATGACTGACCACTCTATTGGGAACTCTGAATTAGTTCGTTGAGGATACATATAATATGCCTACCGGGCGTCTAGGTGTGGACGCACACTCGTCCAATAGCAATGTGGTGAAACAGGGGATGGTAATTATATAATGATTGTTGGGAGTTGGACCTGCCTTGCAGTGGGAATCCATCACTTTCTTGTCGCGCTGAAAGGAGTGAGAGTCTGATCTCCTCTGATTTCACTCTGACTCACTAAGATGGTATTGTGGATGATTCGGGGTGTCTTCCTTTCGGGACCATCCACGTAACCATGATGGTGTGTGTAAGATATGTAACCCGGTTCTCGTGGTCGGAGACGTGACCCGGTTCTCGTCTCGTTCTCTCGTTCTCGCCGTCTCTTCGTCTCGACGTCTCCCACGAGAGGTCCGTTGTCGGCCGCACCTGAAAGCCGATGAAGACGAGGAGAGGTCCCATCTGTTCCTTGGAGAAGAAGGACGAAAGCAAAGCGAAGCGATGTCCAACCACTTGTTGCTTGGCCGGGCTGAGGCCCTCCTAAAGAGAATCTGCTTTGGTCTTTGGTGGTGCCTTGCATGGGTGTTTGCCAGGGTTTCGGACTGCAGATGACAGCAGCTTCCTGAAAAACAAAACTACTTGATGGCTAGGCAAATGCCACATGATAGTGAATCTGACCCAAATCGATCTGTCTGTGCCTGTGCGTCACAAAGGTTTGTGCCGAGTGAACACTCGCAAATGACTACCGACTATCTACAGTAAGTCTAATCTCTCAGGAGATGTCGCGAGTCGATTCTGATTTCAAGGAAGAGCTTCTAAAGAGCGCAGCGGCTGCATGCCCACCACTGGAATTTGAATTGCACCCAATGTGCCCACGATGAAGAAGAGCGAGTACGCCCTGTGCCCGAAGAAGGATTTATCTTCTTCGACGGCTATTTTTATCAGCGTCCGGGTGCGCCAAAATATGTTGGGGCACTTTGGGGTTTGGTTTACTTCCTCGTTGTATGCGTATGTGTGTGTGTGCAATAACAACACACACATATATATATATATACAGTACAGTATATATATATATATAATGCATAATCCTCTTGCCCATCTCCGTCCACTTAAGCCTTCAGGACTTGGCTAATCGGCCCAGTGCTTGCAATTCCAGCTGAACCATTGGAGTCGTTCAGTGCTCCGACACCGATGGCATGTTTCTTTGTTTACAGTGTTTTCCCTCACATAGCCATCTTTGCTTGACATAGGCAGCTCCACAGCTCCACTGAAACATCGTCAAACGTGGAATCGGGGCCTGTGGACTCCACTGGTGAAGCGGCCCATGGCAACCAACATCAAAGCGTGCACGCCAATCATGTTCAGCACGAAGATGTAGCCTGTCCAACCAGAGTTTCTGTTCCACAAATCACCAAACAGATGGGGAACGGCACTGTGAGACCTGTTCCATGAGTATAGGCTGTTTTGGGGAATTACACTTGGAGGCCACTCGCAAAACACCTTTGATATGCCATCATTTGGTGCCAAAGGCGGGATGCCATCAAGTGTGATTTCCTATATACAATCTCATACTTACATCCCCATTTCAATGGGACATGCTGGTAAGTAAGTGTTCTTGTGGGAGGGGCTGTATTGATGCACAGTTTCGCCAACTAAACTACTGTACCCCAAGAGTTTTGCACTGAGATGAAAGGCTTGTGACAACTATGGCACAACTAGTAACAAGGTGCATCGCTACTAGTAGCAAGGACGGTACTAGTAACAGGATGTAACAGGTGCTCCCTATTAGTAACAAGAAGCTACTAGAAACAAAGGGCATCGCTACTAGGAGCAAGAAGCTACTAGTAGCTCCTGTCCCATACGAATCTCACAAGTCTGCTTGGGCCGCCTGCAGGTCTTACGCTGCAAAATGCTTTAAGTTGATCCTCGTAATTGCTACACTCTCTTGACACGTCTTTTCCCTCCATCTATCCAAATACTATACGTTCTACATCGTTCTACTACGTTCTGCGTTTCCAAATCATCGCCCCTTGCGGTCAATGTGCCACCCCATGCCGCCACCATGTTGATGTAAGAGAGTCCCGTCAAGACGCCGATCGGCCAATGCTTGGGCGTCCGCACCTGGGACAGCACCAGGTACCGTTGGTCGATCCTACCAGAAAAACCAACAGGCAGCAACAATCGTGAAGCCTTTGATCTCAGGAGTGGCGTGAAAAAAAACAACTTCCCTCTGACCCCATCATATTCTTATTCTGGTATATTCTGGTCACCTATCCAATTATATCCAATTATCATCAATTCTCTAACCTGATGCATCTGAGCTTGCAGCAGAAAGCAACCATAGCCAGAACCTGATGAGTGCATTGGCTGTTGTGCACAGTCTAAACCTGCGATTTCTGCACAATACAAGGAATGACATGTCACAACTTGAGGGAACATTGGAACATATTGGAACAACATTTCCAAGTTTGCAGGTGCCTGGGATATAGCCAGCCCTAGCACACTTGTAATTGAACCAATCTGTGGGGTAGTCTGCTGTTGATGATGTCTTACACCAGAAAGATCATCGCGAATCTCCCCCGAGCTGCTTCAGCTGCTCGCTTTCTCTGTCGCCCATGACTGTACGCCAAGCGTCGTCATCACGATGGCGGTCATGGCGACAGCCTCGTTGTCGAACTTTCCTGACGAATCGTCCAATGGAACGGGCTCAGTGGCGGAGGACTGGAGGACTTTTTCGTTTGGGCGCGGTATGAGTTACTTTGCATGGGCCCATGAGCATTGCTCCAGCACACAAGCACAAAGGCCAAGTGGGTTGTCCATCCATGCCTCCAAAAGCACACTTGCATGTGCTTGGTAGGACACTTGATCATGTCCCAAGGTAACTGTAGGTTCATGAGAGGATGGTGGAAAACTCGATTCGGCTAATTGAGATATTTCAATCGGGCTCATGACCAGCAAACTCAGTTGGGATTTGTCCCTCTCCATGATGTACTCTGATTTGGTTTGTCCATCGGAGGCTACATTGTGAATGTCATCTCCATACTGTATACTCCAAAGGGCTCCTCTAGTAAGACTCACCAATGGCAAAAGATCCTTCATCACTGAACAAAGGTGAATAACTGAGAAAAACCGAGATATCACTCAGATCACTGTTATAATATACACTGTATAAAACATATATACTATATACACATGATATTACTATAGATGCCGCATCACGCATCAGGCCATGACCCATTACCCATTGGTAAAACAATTTGCGCGATCGCTCCTTGCGTATCCACGAGTTCTTATGTCAATGATGGGTTCCTTTGCAGTTCTGAGGGCACTATGACATAAACTCAGCTGGGAGTAGTAGGGCCGGCCACAACACGTGGGTTATCCAAGTTTGTTCCCACAACGCTCGTCTTTGGCTTTTAGTTACATGTCTTTACCTTTGGTTAACGCTTGTGGTTGTTTTGTTTGCCGATGTCTGCCTATTTTGCAATTCCAAATGGCAACCAAAGTGCACGGTACGGTGGACACGCCAAACTTACACTCGTCCGAGCTCACCTCAATGGATTTCTTATGTTTCGTTTTTTATATCTAATTAAAGTGGTCTGGTCTATGAATCGGTATAAATCGTGGCCCCAGACTAGATACAAAGTTTCAATTTCCCTTCAAACACGTCTTGAAACATCGCCTGTCTGACCTATCTATTTGGAAACATCTATTTCAACGACCATCCACGTATCGTTTCCTCGTTTCGTTCGCCGAAACGATCAGCGCCTCCGACCGAGCGCATGATGTGGGCCGGAATGATCGCCATGATTCCAGTGGCCTCGACGCGCGAAGACTCGCGCGGACCCATCCGTTGAGATGGTGCACCGAGAGATCCCCGGCATAAACAAGCCCCCAAAAAAAAGAGAGAGCAGGACGCTATGCGGGTGTGTGTTTTCCAGTGTTTTGTTTTTTAAATGTTGTTGGATTGTTTCAAGTTGCAATAGGTCTAGCATTGGGTATGGTATTGTAATCTGTCCTGGATGCTTCCGACAGAAGTTTGGAGTCTTCGTTTGTTACAAACATTCACCGTTGACCTGTGGTAGCTTGATGCCATTTAGGATTTCGATAGTCATGAATGTGCTGTAAATAGGTCACGGCCGCGCGCTTCAGCGATCTAAGCATCAGCTGCCTTTCCCCTACCGCAAGAACCCCTAGTGTGTCCACACTGTTTGGGGAAAACAAAGGATACCAGGATACCACAAAAAAGCAAAACCTTTTTTTTAATTCTACTTTTTGGCCGACCCCCCCAGATCCGGTGAACTAGGAAGACTACTACTCACGAGCAAACAACGAGCACCTACCAACAACTACGAGGTCTCGTCCTCAACGTTTGAGCACCTTCAACATGCAAAGTCCTAAAACAAGTGTTTTCGAGAACACTGGAAAACACACACCCGTATAACGTCCTTTTCTGAATGAAAAAAAGAGGGGCTGGTAATGAAACTGAAACTTCAAATATCGATTTAGTGGTCTGAAAGAGTCGGTGTCTTTTTCGTCAGAAGAGCGAGTCTTTGAGTCTTTTCCACTGGCCATCTGGGCAAAATGCGTGAGCATATGTGAGCATCTTAACAGAAGGTCTGCGAAAGCGTACCGTCGGCCAAACACATAGCAAGAACTATATCTATTGAATCCCAACGCTTGTTGTTCTCCAAAACTTGTTTCCTCGGGCTGCAACTCATAACTTGACTGTGGGTCAAGACAAGACCCTCACCCAAATAATTGTTGCATTGCAATGAACCCGGCGCAAATCTTCTCCAAGCCAGCCAGCCAAACAGGGTACTATAAAGCAATACCATCAAAGAATACTAAATAACAATTGTACAAAATATTACCAGACTATACCAGACTCATTCCTACTACTGCAACACCATGATGCACCGACTCTCATGGCCCTTCAAAAATTCATCGGACCCTAAAGCTTTGGTGAGGGGCCATCAGCCCAGCGTTCACGCTCCGGGAGATCTCATAGGCCAAGAGCCCAGTGAAGATCGAAGCCTAAGAAACAAGGAGATATTCACCGGGTAAGGAGAAACAAGGAGATATTCATAGGTTGAACATTGGTTGTTCGGAAAGTCCAACCTATGATACCTTTGTTGTAGCTTTGATTTATGCGTTTCGTTCGTGACTTGTTTCACTGCCAATCGGCGAAAACCGTGGGGTAAGTGCTTGCTCTAGCTTCGACTATTGCATGTTGTTACATCATAGACCATAGACTTCTGATAGATAGAAATCAAAGGTTCATTGCAGAACGCCCATATGAGGTACGGTGCGGCTACATCGTCAGATCTGTGAATCCCCTATGGTTTCCCAATGTTTTGGAACCTTGCTGCTTTGTGAGTCCCCTATCGTTTGCCAAGTTTGGCCTGGTGCACTCTAGCATATGAATGAAAAGCTCTTATGCAGTGGTAATCATCGCAACCCTTGAAGGCACTTCATGTACAGCTTCGCAACCCTTGAAGGCACTTCATGTACAGCTTGTTTGTATATATATATATATATGTATGTATGCATATGTATATGTAAATAATTTCAACCATTTGGTGTTGTTTGCAGGCCACCAGTGCGGAGTGCAGTAGCATCTCGTCAAACAAGGCTACATACGACATGACGATGTCCGAACGGTGCGGTGGCTGCCGAATCGGTGCTGCACGCCAAGCAGCCCAGCGGTCTTTAAAGACCAACCATCTTATGAACACCGGACAAGTATATAAGGAATCTAGCCGCTAGCCAGAACATGCCAGAACATCCCACACTTGTTGATCAGCATCCTCATCCAGTCCTGTCTGTCTTGACCATCTAACCGATTCTGCCTAGAAAAAAGATAAACATCTTCACGTATCTCTCTGGATAACCCGCACAGCAATGGAGGTATCGAGAATGGAGGATGTTTTTATCCTCACCAGGCTTTGGAAGGCTTCCATGGCTGAACAAAATCCTTCGCTCCCCAGTTCTCTCCCTCCACTCCGGGAGGTCGCACTGCTCATCTTCAAACCCTTCAGCAAGCTCTTGACCAACATCCCGAGAACACCCAAGAAACCAACGCGTGAACTCGTGATCACGGCACGCGGAAAACGAGTTGTGATCTCGCACGGGTTCCAAGGAGCACTGGCACCAAACCATGGTGGAATCATGCAGCAAATGTCGTTCACGCTCATGGGGCCGATCTCAAGTTTTGACCTTGGACGGACGCGTTGTTGCTGCATTTTTTTGGGGGGGGGATGTAATCGCACGCAACATGAGCGTTTTCATGGCCTGTGGCCCGGAGGTCGGTACGGCTGGTGATGGGTACCGTCGATTTGACCACCTGATGGGACCTCTTCCGACGCTTTGAAGCAAAGACATCGAGTACCTCTACTTCCACCCATTGCATGTAGCTACTCCGAAGCACAACCACTTCAACCACATGATGTATTAATTTTTAACATGTTATTGGTGTCTGGAGCGTCATGGAAGCTTGACATCTGGAGCCCTTACCAAAGGTACGATGTTGGACATGGCAGCCTTGGATGTCAGGATCCTTTCTTGGTCGTTGTATGTCTTTGTCTATGATACTGCATCCAAAACAGCCACCAGAATGGAGGATCCAACGAACACCCCCCCAAGCCAACAATTACCGTACATGAAGCAACACAATGTTACACCAGGCTGAGCCTATCAAACACCTAAAACCGCACTGAGTGACACATGCACATGGCCGAAGGTCATTCAGTTCTTTCTTGCCACGTTGCTTAAGGGCTTCCGGAATAAAGAGCCAACCATTCCTGGAGGCTTGAGCTGCGGAGTGTGATTTTTCGGGCAAGGCGCACTCCGGTTGAAGAGATAGGCTTGTAAGGAAGCAACAAGCCTTATCCGAAGGACACGCACCTAACACTGGACCGCCAAACCGACAGAATCCAAAGGAGACATCCTGGAATCTCTTTCAAATCTCAACGAACATGGCTTGCTATCTATATTGCAGTCAGTGCTTGTTTCGGGTGCATCCAATGTGGCAAGAATCCCTGTGGCGGCAGATTTGTCATGCTTTGCAAGTATGATTGGTCAGAACCGCAGCCTGGGAAGTTGAATTCTTGCACGGATATGGGCTAAGAATATATCTGCTCAAACCGTCTAAATGGTTGGCCCAACAAACACATATTTAAGAACACACACTGGTTGCATGGTTCATTCTTACATATTCTTACTAATCTCCCGCAAATGAACTACTCCCCCGCAAATGAACACCCCAAAACCACTGGGTTGGTACTCGGATGTCTTCGGAAAATGGTCGAAACCACCGGTCAATTCTCAGGTTCCATGTTGCGTCTCTGCTCGGATGCCGCGCCTACGAGCCCATTTCGCCAGCGGCCGCAGCGGCGGGATAAACGGCAATGGGACCTGCCGGGGAGGCGAGGAGCCCCGATTTGCATCCATGTTTTCTTCCTGAAGTACGAAAGGCTTAAACATGGTGAAATGTATAATATAAACTCACTCTACTCTGCAATACCAACCGCCTTTGGTCTCCGTCTTTGACTATGTCAATGTGGTTTGTGGCCTCTGTTCACCGCCTTGAATGTTTGCCTATGCTATTGTTTCATGTCAATTCTATGTCCCCCCTCTTCCGAATCCCTGACTCAAAACCGCTGGATCTTTGTTGCCTCATGCTTCTGGCAGTTCCCCAGATCCCTCAGATCTGCTCAAATTAAACATCCGCCTCAATAACATGTTTGACTACAGTAGATCCTTTATGAACAACTATCCAAGTATTCGTTTTGCCCAAGCTCCACAAGGGACCCCCCCAGGAAAGACCTGTTAACAAACTGGTCCTTTTGAGTTTGTATTTGTTTTGTACCCTTTGGCTCCCAGTCTGTGCATGTTGATGCCCTGTCTAGACCTCAATTTAAGTTCTTTTGAAATCCAGGTCAAACCCTTCTGGTTCCTTTGGACATCCTTTGATTCTTCCTTTCGATCTGTTTTGATATTGATACGATTAGCCTTGGGGATGTGTGTCCTCCCAAGGCAAGTGGACCTCAATCCGGGCTTTACAGTCTTTACACTAGGCTTAAAAAAAGGACCCCGTTGGGCGGGACGAAGGAAGACTCCTTTGATCCTTGTGACAAACAGCAACTAACACTACAAATTTATACTGGCATTTGTGCATCATTTTGCTGCCCAAAATATGTGACAAACAAAAACTCCTTGGCTGAACAACTTGATTGAACTCGCAACCTCCAAACTCCAAACCCCTCCAAACCTTTTGGACCTCGCAAGCAGCATGCCATGTCACCCAAAGGGTCCATGGCCTTATATAGGCCATCCCTCCATGACTAATGTGAAATACTAGCATAGTCACTCACTGACTATCCATCCCAAAACATTGGCCCATTGTTCCATCACCCAAAGCAGGAACCGACGGTCACCGTCCCAGCATTGGGAGGCAAGGATTTCTCAGCACCACTCAAGTCCTTTGCGCTTGGTCCATTCCATGATGTAGGCACCTATGGGTCCCTATGTACATCACATGTTCACAGGGTAGCACTACCAAAGGAAAAGGACATCATCACCCAAATAGTATATATTTTATATTATATAGTTATAAGTCATATATGTTTCTGTTTAAATGGTTGAGTCCGCCGTCACAATGTTTCCCTCAGCATGGCAATCATTCAAATATATTCAATTTGATTGACATCTCATTGCTTAGAACATTGTTTCTTTCGTCGCATCGGACTTACGAACATGCTTTTGCTGGCGAGGGCTCCGGTCTTGATTGTGGTCCGCATGTGAACCGCCCGAACCACCAGCCTTGGTGGTTGGCACCTGCTTCAGCACCTGGCATATAGGGTCGAATGCAGTGCGGATCTGGGCAAATCACTGCTCTAAAGGGGTCGCAGGTCAGTTTCCAAAACCGGTTGTTTCTTTGGGAATATTTGATGACTTTGATGCCATTTGTTTTATAGCAATGTCGTTTATTTCAGGCTGCTGGGCGGCCTCAAAAATGCCAACGGCCCACATCTGCATGCCAGGATAAATGGTTGTGCCTTACTGGAGCCGCATAAAAGCACACGGGCTGCAAAACATGGACAAGTCTTTCGGTCACGGATGCCGGACGTGGTCAGAATAATCGGACGCCCCAGAACAGTCATGTCAAACAATCGGCCAAAGTTCAGCTGCCAAGCGGATCGCTTTCAAAAAAACGCACTAAAGCAAGGAACAGCGGGGAAACATATGGTTGTGAGTCAAGCACAGCTGTATAAACGGGAAACACTGCAGTGAGCAAAAGTGAGGTGGGGAACCTTTGAAGCTGAACGCTGCAGGCAAAGAATATGCAAAGAATATGGCTGAGCTTCTCAGCCAAAAGGAACTCTTAGGAGTCCTATTTCTGCCAGAAGAACCACGTCGGTAAAATTCATATCGTGAACTTTCATGAGCTGGAGCATTCACGACACACACACACACACAAACACACACACACACATCTCTCTCTCTCTCTCTCTCTCTGTGCCTCTCTCTCTCTCTCTTTTTTTTTTCTCTCTCTCTCTCTCTCTTTGTGAGCACTAACTTCGGTCAACATCTGTTAACCAGAAAAAGGAAGTGCAAGCATATGCCACTGTAGGGCTGCCGCTTGGATGTCGGAACAAGCAAATTCACTGCGTTCAGCTGCTCCGTGCCCGCGTTCAGCGAACGCGCCGCTCCGTGCAGGTCCAGCGTCCGATGGGCCGACCAATGGGATACCAGGACATGTAGTCATACCATCGGAAGAATTTTGTCAAGCCATGCTGGGCCAAGTATTCCTTGGGTGCGAGCGATGCCGGGCGATGGATCTGAAGAGACTGATGCGATGGAGATTCATGCGAAGAATGTGACATCAGAAGAACTCAGCAGAAACACAGGATGGCTTGGGCGCACAAACAAAGGCTGCTTTTGGCTCATCTAGACCTACCCAGTAGGAATCTATGCGAAATATGTAAGGAGGATTCCATGACATCATCAACCCCCCTTGTGCTGGCGAGGCGTAACAGCTATTTATAAGTAGTTTTGATATGATTTGATTGTGCATTCCATATCATTCCATCATACATGCATTTCATCACATGTTCCAACAATTGCGACCAAAAGGCGTCACAAACGACGTGGCGCGGCCGTCATGCCAGGCGTACCCAAACGATTCACCACCAATAGGCGTCCACTCAGGTCTCGAGGTGCGAACCGTTTGGTCCAACGCAGCAACCAGGGCCAGTCATTCCGGCCGGCTGTGGACCCACCCACCAGAACTGGCCAAGGGGCTGCCGCACGATAGTTGAACCAGGGGTCGAACTCGTGGATCACATGTCCAAACCTGAACGCGTCCGACACAGGGATGGAGGGATGACGTCAACATTTTGTGGCATCACTTGGTCAAAAGGGTTTCATACCGTGTTGGTTGAATACTAAAACGCGCACATCCATGCTCAAGAGATCAACATAAAACATAAGGAGTAGTGATTGCTCCTCTTGCTAAGTGTGGTGTACGATATCTTGACTCGTTTTTCTTCCAGTGATGGCCAAAGTACTCCCAGGACGGTGTATAGAGCTTCATTTGTATACCAAGATCCAACAAGCAAGGAGTACAAGCCGACACTTTATACAATATGGGCGGGAGGTTGTGTTTGGTCCTTCGTGCTGGTTTTGAAGTTCCTGGGCCACCTCTTGTGCACGTTCCACCTGGGTTTCAAGGATTCTGCTGGCTATATGCCTAAATGCTCTAAGTTATGTATTTGCACCACACTCCACCTAATGAGAGTTGGCCAGTCTTTACAAACACCCCCAACAAATAGCTCCCAAGGAAAGTGCTGACCAACTCCTCTACATATTTCTGAACGTACCTGACGGTGGTACTACCCATTCACACCTATCTAATATACCTAATGTCGACTGCCAATTAGTAACCCCCCCCGGATTGAAGTATGCATCGGTGTTCTTAAATATGTGTTTATTCAATTTGTCGTTATGACTGTTTTTATATCGCATTTATATACTTAGTTTTGTGTTTTGTTTATATTTTTATGTTATATATTTCTTTATTTATTTGTATTTATTTATGTATATTTATTTATGTTTTTTTTTTTAATGTTATATTGTGTTATTTTGTTGTTGTGTTTTATTTATTTTGTATATTTATGCATATTATGTTTTTTTATTTTTTGAGTTTTTCGTTTTGTATTTTTACTCTAAATTAATGTCACCATCTGCAATAGTGTCTGTTCTTTAGGTATTTAATTTAAACACCTCCCGTCTACGCTTTTACATTTTTCAATAATAAGTACCCCTAGAATAGTGTCTACCTGATTGCTCTAGTAAGATTTTAACTCACTTTGATTTCCTTTAACATCTTTTAACTAATGTTGATTTCCTTTTAATTCCTATTGATGTTGCACTATCAATTGTTGTATAATCAGGAGACTCATCGATTTGACCGGGGGGGAGGGGGGTGGTTACTAATCAAGAGTCACCATTATATGATATGTATTTCTTTATCTATTGTTTATCTATATTTGTTTCTCTCTTTCCGTAGTTGACTTCAGGGTGTTTAAGCTGGACTTCACCAGGCCAGTAGAAGCCAGGGTTAATCTCTTCCCTTTCCGAGCCCAGTTGAAGCTCAAGGAGTCCACTCTGGTCGCATTCAAGATGCGTCTTGATAGCATGGAGGCGGATATCCTGGGAGGCGACTGAGCGGATCGTCCGAATATGATATCTCCAACACCAATCAATCAACTAGTTATTAGGTTCTACAATACCCCTAGACCCTCCGTATGTGCACTCAATATGTATATATATATATAACTCTCATGATTTTTGTGGCCTGAAAATAACACAAGGATCATAAGGCATACAGTAGTAAAAACCTAAAACAGTGTTTCCCTGGCTGCCAGGGTAACACTGACTCTCCCAAATCAGAGACATTCGGTGTTGGGAAATTGTGGCAGCGCTGGACTCTCCAATCAACAGCGTGATTCTCAATGAGTTGGTGGGTGAAATGTGTAGGAGCTGATTCTCAATGGCCATGCTTTTTTTACATGTGCAACCCACGGAAGTATGAAAAACCTGCTGATGTCAATGGTTACTTGCATGACCCACCGAACAAAGACATGGCCAGGATAGCCAAGCCAGGTTTTTTCATGCATTCACCAGCTGGGCCAAGCATCGTAGGCAGCAAATGCAAAGTACAGAAGGAAGATCGCCTGAAACTGAAGAAATCAAGATCACCATTCCATTCAGATTTAACTTCTTGACTTGCAAATCCTACCCAATGATTGTTTGATGTTGTGTGTATATAATATATACGTAGACGACGTAGACCTAACAAGCCAACCATCGTCACACAACATTGGACAAACCAAACATTTTCTTTTAGTGCAGCTGGCTTGAATGATGGTGTAGAAACTTTTCACTTGTCTCCCATCCAGTGTTCTTTCGAGATCGCCTGGATGATGATAAGGCCTTAGCGAGAAAACCGCAGGATGGTTGGAGCTCGTAACACAGCCGATCTTCAGAAGGGAACATGGAAGTGGAACAGGGACATCCACAAAAGGAGTCTCCTGTTGAAGTGGGTCTGTTTCACATCCATGACTCTTGTAGGGTAAGTGGAGAAACATCATTCCCACCATCTGTTACCTGGCGGAGTGGCTTAGTCTTCGAGGAACATGGTGAAGCACTAGTCCAAGTCCGTCCAAGCCCATGAATCTTACACAAAACAGCACATCATTGTTGTTCATGCTTCATCTGGAGTTTCACATCCCCTTACACATATAACATCTTGAATCCACGCCATCAATTTTCTCTTTATGCTCACCAGAGACAAAAAATCATGACAGTTTTCACGATGTCCAACACCTTCTACTACTTCTGTCAATTTCTACCAGCTATCAGGCGACTCATTGACACTATTTTACGCTCACTCCATCTACATTTGAAGGTCACATTCATGAGGTCATGAGGCCACCCTGATTTCTCACGCCGCAAAGGGAGGTTCATCCCCAGCGGCCCAGCTTCACGATCTGTCGCAAAGGGAAGGCCACAACGCCCGGGAGGAGCATCCTGGCGAAGTGAAGGTGGATTCTCTCATACTGGAGACCATTCTGTTGGCTGTGCCGCAATCTATGGCCAAACGTTGCCTGCAGGTTGACACTCAAAGCAGAACGTGAACATGATTTCAGGGTGCCCTGACATGTTCAAGCCCGTCTTTGGTAGCACGACAAACTGCCCGAAACACGTAGCCCGTGACCGGATGTGACCGGCGACCTCTTCAGGTCAGACCTCCATCGGTCCGGTCCGGTCCGGTCCTGTTGGTGCGAGCGGACCGGTCGGTCGCTGAAGGGAGTCAAAGGCCGAAACAGTTGGCTTCGGTGATGCGAAACAGTGTCCCAATCCCTCTTTGGTGAGAACGAAACCGTGCTCTCTTGGTGAAACAACGCTTGGTGAATCCGTGCTTTGGTCCATAGACAAGTTAACACATATAAACAAATCTTATATGTACCGGAGAACTCATCCTACGTGCAATGGATGCCTCATTGATGTTTCACTGATGTATGTGAAAAGACGCGGCTGTACGTCTGAGGCATCTCTTCAGTCCCCATTCAGTCCTCCTTTGTGCTGAGCCAAAACTCCACAAAGCGCTTTGTTCTGCACGGCGGAGTGTCGGCTCACCGCCCATACTGATCGGTGGACTCATCATACTCATCCTTCCAAGCTTCTGTAGGTGATCCCTCCGACTGCAATAAGGCGCGACATATGTATCAACATCATCTAATATATATGATACATGGCACATGGTAATAGTACGTGATTGTCACAGTAGATATGCAATTCAGCTGCCATGCCTGTATAGTCCATGCATGTTGGATCACTGAAACATGCAAGCAGTGCTCTAGGTCCTCTCAGGACCCATCATGGCCTTGTGCAAGACCACCCGCCGCCCTCCTTCCTTTGCTAACAGGCCAGCACGCAAACCACTAGGTCACTCCCCCTGCTACCTGATAGAAATTACATCCATCTCCATCATGGAACTTGAACACAAACCAAAGGAGGAAGGTCAGTTGTTAGGACTTGCACCTACTTGTATGATCTTGTATATTAACATAACACTACACATCACGACTATGACTATAACCCTATAGGGCTCAGCTCAACTCATGCCTTTTTGCCAACCTGCTGTCTGTTTGGTGTTGGGTCACTCGGGTGCACAAGGCGGGACGCTGGCGGGACTGGGCCCTTTGAGTTGCTTCAATTCGAAAGGCGCAACAGAACTCTACAAGACGGCTGAAGGCAGAAAGGAAGACAATGCTTGCAGGATAATGATCTTCAAAGCTTGAACTGATTTTCTTCAGATACAGCACGTGGAACAAGACCCTTGAACAACGTGCACTCACAAGACCAAGCCCTGTGGCGAAAGAACCCGTAAACCTGGATCTACGCTGGTAGCGGCTGGTAGCGATAGCAGGGAACAAATCCTGCAATGACCATCTTCTGATTGCAACAATTTGTGAGAAACAAACTGCTTCATAATTCGGATGACATCACATCAACCCAGGCACTGCGCCAGATGCCGCCATATGGACAGCGAGAAGGCAGCCATACTCATCCTGCCTTCTGGATCTTGAAACTGAATCACACGAGTTGATCCCCGCGATGGTGTCATATCACATGTCCAAAGAAAGAATAGAACAGGGTCCCTGCACTTTTCCATTCGACGAACCCATCTGAAGACAGCTGCCCCCATCGGCTGTCAGTCACACAGACCCACAGGACCCGCCTACAATACAGGACCCGCCGCGGTGTTCGCAGGCAGTTCCCAGGTGAATTGCACCAGTGCCGTCCCTTAAACCCACAAGCAAGGGCGTCAATGCAAGAAGATGAAGAAACCACACGATTTACGAACAAACTTGCATAACTGTGTGATGATCTCAGCTTGCAAACTAGGTGGACACACTGCATTACACGTCAGAACTTTTGGAGCTGTTCCACATGCGATTCACCTTGGAGCATCACACGGTCGTGCTCAATGCTTCGATTGAAATCACATTCATCTCTGGTAGCTGATACTCATCGGCAGTCAGGAGGCGCCTAGCATCTCATGGCCCAGCTTGAACAGTGAAATTGACATGACGTGGCTCATGAGAAACAGCTAGCATCAGCTAGCTTAAAATAACGAATGGATGCAACTCTCATCTGGTCGCTACAATTTAAAACAGTATCTTCTAGGCATTGACCTACACCCCAGCTCCACGAGATTCGCCACATGAAAGGGCCCACCTTGCCCTTTTTTGCTCATTGGCCTCGCTTGGCCTTACACGTGCGATGCCCCCAGTTCCCAGCGCGGACCTGCAGCCGGGTCCGCCGGCGGATTCTCGGAGACTTCCTTTATGGCTTTCTCCAAGTCCCCATTCTCGATGGCTGCCATCAACCTCAGGTGACGTGTCGACCGCGGCCCAGAGAGGTTGGATGTATGGGTCGGACGCCCAAGCGAAACATGCCTCCTATGACTCGTGAAGTGTAGGCAAAAATATGTGACTCGGAAACGATGAGCGTATGAAGGAGCTCATCAACAACGTTCTAGCTTCAGCAAATGCTGAAGCCTCTGCAATGTCTCGAGTCTATCTAAAGTGGCGTTGCTTTGTGCCTGCGTCATCGTCGTCGCTGGTACGCTTCAAGAGAATGCTATGGTTGTCGTTCAGCTGTCATTCTCATCTTTTCAGCTGTTCTTCAAATGCTGCTTGCTCGGCTTCGTAAAACCACACGCTCAAACAAAGAACATGACATGTTGTTTGCGGAAGAAGAAGCTTCGCACATTTGCTTTCGCGGAAAGTTAACAAGTTCTGCTTGTGCATGTCTCCTTTCCATAGACAAAAAACACCGGTCTGCTCATGCGGGACGATCACGTGACCGTCGCTCACGCCGGTGAACACCGGTCTGGGTCGGTAAACCGGTGGGACAAGACGTTGTGTCCCAAGCAGTTGGGAGATGTTGGGAGACATGTGCCAGGGGCCGGGCCTCATGATCATCGAAATCAGCTCATGCCAGCTCAAGATCTATCGTGCACACACACACACACATCTTGTAATTAAGATTGTATATTATATAATATATTTGTATATTATATAAGTGTGATTAAGTGTGTATATCTGCAAAATCTTCAGAGGTTTACATTACCATTATAATATATAAGTTTCTGGACAGGTCATCATGACATATCGTGAGAGCCTTAATGCATTCATCCATTTCTGCATGTCCATTACCTCTGGTCTTTGCCTCTTAGCTTGAGACACACCCAAACTCAAACCACAGTCTGTCAGCTGTGTTATTAAAGGGGTCGCTCACGTCAACAAGTAATTGATGTTGAACCATTGAAGACCACTTATGAAACAATGACAATCCTCAAATATCCTCAAAGCCCCAGTGGTTTCAAGCTCAGGAATCACCCGCATGAAGAAATACTCGGGATGCCAACATTCCAGCATTGACTCTTCTAGATGTTCACATGGAAGTCCCCCTGTCTGGCACGCCAAAGCAATAGTGACCCAACATGAAGTCAAAAAGACCTAAATTGGGCAGGTCTTTCCCTTCAAGATCCTTCAAGCCTTTCGGTCTTCGAGTCTTCATCTGCACCAACTCTCCCCACCCAGTGACTTGCCCAGTGACACATCACCCACTTTCATCTGTAGCTTTTGTAGGTTGGGGCCGCTCGGGCTGCCCCTGGCCACGTTGGAAAGCGGTGGACCGCCGAACACAGCCATGTTTGGACTTCAAGGGGGGTGCATCACCATCATCACCGTCATCCCACAAACCACCCAGGAATCAAAACAGGAACAACGCACGACCAATGCGCTGCACAACATGGCCTAAGAACTACGGATTGCTTGGTATGCCACGCCCAGAAAGAGAGGCAAAAACACAGTAAAATGAAGTAAACCTGCAAGCACAAGTGTCAGATCTGCAAAAGGCCAAGGCTCTTGATCTCTTCCAAGGCCTTCTTGAGCTGACCTTGCTTGCCACGACACTGGCGCTCGGTAAATCGTCAGCGACGTACGCTGCCCTCTTTCATTACAACAAGGAAATCTATCACGTGCTGCTTGTGTCTGTGTATACATGTATGTATATATACTGTATATACATGATATTTACATGTACATACATGCAAATAACATACAAAACATTGAGTATTGACTCATGATTTCATAATTGTTGTAATTGAAACAGTAATGATGCCAACTGTCTTGCCATTGAAGCGGGGTTCTAGGTGTATTCTGTGATCATGACAAAACGTAATAAATATCTCCCATGCACCAATGAAGTTCTTTCCCCGTGGGTGGTGGAGCAAATCCCTCAAACATGGAGAGCGGGATGTCTGAAGCCTGGAAGTCAAATCTTCCTCCGTGTGCCACTCGGGTGCTTGGAATTTTGATGAGTGAGTCGCTTTCGGCCGAATGGGGATCCCTCGATTTCCTAAGTGAGTCGCATAGCCCCCAACCAAAAGGGTGTCCGAGCAGGTTCGTTCCGCAGCACTCTTTCGTTCACCAGGCGGTCCGGGCCGTTGTCCGCCGCCTCCACCAGCAGCTCCGCGGCCTTTCGTCGCGTCTCTTGCCGCGGCGACGGCTGCGCCGGCATGGTGCGGATCTCCGCCAGGGCCTTCCGTGCGCGGTCGCGGTCCGTCCGGGGACCCCGGCCACGGCTTGCGGTCCGGGGCAGTCCGGGGGATTGTCATCTAGAGAGTAGGGCTAGGGCTGTAGGGAGGTACTGCATACGAGTTTCCAGAAACTCGTGGTTGAAGCAATGACAAGTGAGCACTCAGAATCTTTGTCTATATACCTGGAAACCCGTATGATCACTTTTTTTTGATCACTATGGCCTCAAGCCGTATAGACCGTTTTTTGGTGCATATGCCGTATATGGGCACGGACATCTCTCTGGGGGACTCCATGTTGTATGAATGGGAACTGTGTACGAATATGGCCGTATACTGGCCATATTTGCATGCATATTGGGGGGTACCCGTATGATACTAGTATCTTTTCAATATAACCATATTCCAACATACTAGTGCGCATACTGCGTTGGAACACCCGAATACGGTACCCTATTGAGCCAAGAGAGGAAACCGAAAATACCCGGTATTTGGGCAAACCCCGTAACGACCAAAAAAAATGGTCAAATGCCGTATGACCAAAAAAAAATGAACATACTGTTTCTCAGGTATATATATATATTAGCTACCCCCCCCCCATGTACCCCCGTTTTGCTTCAAGTGCATATGTATTGCGTAGGATGCACCAGATGACAGCAGACGATACACTTACAGTTGCATGCTAAAGCTTACCAGATGACAGCAGACGATATACTTACAGTTGCATGCTAAAGCTTGCGACTTGTTACTTGAGAAGCCTTCTGAGAAGCAGACGCAAGAGAAGTCCTATTTGTTACTTTACAAGCAGACACAGCCAGCACAGACTTTTTCAATCCCTGATCGAAGGTGCTTCACTCAACTGGCTTGACAGACTTTTGTGTCAACCATGCGCAGAGGTCACCGGAAGCCACCCACAGATCCTTATTCCGATTCCAGTACTCATACTGGATGGACCGGATCTGCTCCCGGAGCCTTGCTGAGCCTGCCTTGGAATGTTGGTTTAAATCCAGGCGAGACTTAAAGAACCGCCAAACACGATCAATGATTTGGGTGCCTGCCTTCACCTTGATGACTTTCCCTGAATCTGGCAACTTGTGTTCGCGCAGAGACACATATTTGGGAGCCTTCCACATCCATTTGCCCTTGACCTTGACGCGCTGTTTACAATGCACTACATGGTCATGGACAACCATAGGCAGACGAAGCTTATAGCTTCGAGCTGAATCAGTGTGGAAAATCAATTTCAGAGGACGAGTCGCTGTCAGAGCTGTCGGAGGAGTCGGAGAGATCCTTGAGCGCCTCAGGTGTTCTCAGGCAGCAAAGGAGAAAGAGATATGACTATACAACAAAGTCGGTTTGACAAACGACAAACGACTTACGACATTGGAGAAAGTTTCTGTTATTGCAGGCGGGCTGCCAGCAACTCAGTCTTATCGCCTGGGCCAATTGCGAGCTTGGAGCTGCTTCCTGCGGGGACACGTTTCGCTGAAGCAAGGCACTTGCGTAGATCCTCTTCGGCGGCTTGAGTCCACACACCTTTTTTGATTCCTCTCGGCTGAAGGCTTCTTGTCTTTTGGATGTTGTTGATGATGATGGCCAAAGTCTTCCTGTCGAGGGGGATACGTGAAGGGTGCACAGGAATGTTGCCGGCCAGAATGCGTTCCCACAGAGCTTTGAAATCCAGCTTGGGCGTCTCGATGGTTGGCTCAGAAATTTGGAGGCTCAGCTGGGCACTGTCTCCGGACATGGATACATCTCCAGACACCGCAAAGGACGGCATGACGAAAGATGACTCAAGTTGAGAGGGAGTCTACGAGTCTAAAATCTACAAAACGAGCAGCTGGGTCGGCAAGTGTGATGTAAGTTTACCAGCAGACTCTCGCAGAGAAAACTGAGTTCCAGAAAACATTGCCATACAAGAGTTCCAAAAAGTTTTAAAAGTTTTAAAACTTTTTGGAACTAAGAACTAAGAACTAAGATTTCCCCACACTCTCCCACAGCAATGTTAGTTCCAGAAAACCTTGCCATACAAGAGTTTCAAAAAAGTTTTAAAAGTTTTAAAACTTTCTGGAACTAAGAACTAAGAACTAAGATTCCCCCAGACTCTCCTGTGCATTCTTAGTTCTTAGTTCTTAGTTCCCAAAAGTTTTAAAACTTTTAAAACTTTTTAGAAACTTTCTTGACCTTCAGATGTGGGAAGTAAGACTTGTCCCCAAGAGTTCTGTGCATTCTTAGTTCTTAGTTCTTAGTTCCCAAAAGTTTTAAAACTTTTAAAACTTTTTTGAAACTTTCTTGACCTTCAGATGTGTGAAGTACGACTTGTCCCCAATAGTTCAAACAATATAGATGTGTGAAGTACGACTTGTCCCCAATAGTTCAAACAATATATATGGTACCCCCCTGCACATCTGGCAACATATCTTCCTCACAGAAATGGGGGTACATGGGGGGGGGGGTACCATATATTAATATGTACGTATATGTTTCTGTGCCATTGCCCTGTAGGGCACTATAGGGGCTGTGGCCTTTGGATCGCAGGCCTCTTCCTCAAGAATGGTTGTTCCCCCCTCGGTGGGGCCATTTCTACTATTTCTAATTGGAGCGGGGTGTAAAGCGAGACATATTGACTTGGAAGTGGTCGAGTTGCAAAGAGGGGAGACTTTCCAAGAAAACCAACCCTTTTGCAAACGCAAAACAGCATGGCCGCCCCCAGGTTTGCTCCAGTGATAATACAGTTTCTCCAAGCCGAGTTCCCCCAGCAGAGCTCACCACATGACCGCCTTTCTGAGATCTCCGTTGTCTGCAGAGCTCACCAACAATTGGGCAGCCTGACCGGCGAGCTGGTCAGTGATCTGGGTCATGCAAAGACATGGAAAGCTTCGTGGCACCCCACAAAAGGTTGCATCCTTTTGTTAGCAAGAGTCACCAAAGGTCTTGTTTGCAAGCTGTCGTGACTTGTATAGATATATATATTTAATTAGTGGATACCCCCTTCGTGAACACATTGTCTTCGACTTTCCTGGCTCATTAATGTGAGAGTGGAAGAATTGAATAGAGCGCTGTAAGCCTGTTGACTTGCTCTATGTTGCTCGTGCTTAGCAAAAACGTACACCGTTGCTTTGCTTCTCCGCCTTTGTCCTTATCTCATCGACATTCTTCTTCTTGGCTGCATCGCTTGACTGGAGATCCTCCGAGCAAGTGAAGTTCTCCCAATCAGCACAAGGTTCTCGCCATGCTGTGTGGGAGCACTTCTCTTGATGGAACAATGACCGCTTGGCAAAGCATTACTGCCCGTGGCCCATATAAGTTGCAGTAGGCATTTAAAATACTTCAAGTTGGGCATTTGGACGCATTTGGGGAATCCCACTTTTTGTGGCAAAGGTCGGTTTGAAGCATGCACCCAGCAATCAAAAGCAGCTTTTGGACAATTCTCGTGCGTAACCTTTCTTCTACCAACATTTTGCCAACGTTATCAAATGTGTGCTTGAAAGGCATTGACGAACGACACCTGCGGCTTGGTGGGGTGGTGCTCTTCCAACACTCCTAGTGTGCTAAAAATGTTCCACGCTTCACTGACTCCCTCAGTTTCCCATCCAAAATGCAGGTAAACCGTAGGTATTTATGTCTGGTGAAACATGGTGAAACCAACCACCCTTGTTCCAAAAAACACTCCAGGGCCACGTTCGTCGGCTTTTCCCCCTCTCTCTTGGTGCCACGAAATCCACACGGCTTGGCCGTCCCCTCTCCTTCAAGATCTTCTCGAAGTCTCCGTTCTCAGTAGCCGCCATCAGCAGGTCGCCTGCCTAGGCAGGTGATTGCCCGAAGGCCCGAGGAATTGCTCAGCGAAATACAGCATGTCCCTGAGTTAAGGCAATCAATATGTGGTCAAACATGCGAAAGAACATGTCTTCCAAGAGCCATTGATCCAAAAACTTTGAACATCTTCAAACCCTGGTAGATGTGGAACATGCATCACTTCATCTTCTCCCCCCCAAAAACGTGCGCCCTTCCACTTCACCACTTCACCTTCTCCCGGCCTTTTCTCGGACCGCTTCCGCCTTTCGGCCGCTCTCCTAGGCGCTTTCTCGAATCCATGGGAAGTGGCAAAAACACACATTAAAAAAACAACAACAACCACGACCACAACACTCGTGCTTGACCCCCTTTCCGTCATGTTGACCATTCCTTTCCATCATTTGATCATTCCTCCTTTGAATTGAACAACCCCCTCCGCTTTTTTATTTGTATATGTCTTTACTTTCGTAATTACGGTGCACATGTAAAGGAAGGACCCGTGTTCCACTTCCGTGATTTTTGGAGGGAGACGGAGGGAGAGTAGGTGGACCATTGGCTTGGGGGCCTCCATTCTGAAGACACACCTATGTACACTTCGTTCTTGAGAAACAGCCCCCGCGTGCTCAATGATTGAAGGCTACGACCAGCGAATGACAAAAGAATTCCATCCCAGGTTGGACGAAAAAAGCTGCAACAGGACTATATTGAATGCAGGTTGTGGAGCTCTTCACATTGGAGTGACTTCTTGGGAGGGAGGCGAGAGATTCAAATTCATGTGCATGTTGCATGGCCTTTTTAGCGTCATCAGAGTATAGAACTTTGGGACACAAAACCCCTTCAGCAACCCAACATGACCCAACAATCCGTCATGTACAATGGATGCTTTGAGCCAAACACAGTGCCAAAACTCCGCCATACCCATTGTCCATGACTGTTGATCCGCAAACGGTGCTGGTGCCCTGAGGGGGTACTCAGCACCTAGTTTGCCTCAACAAAAATGTGCCTCCCTTAATGAATCATGACGAATCCAAGTTCCCCACTTCCCACCCCCGGATGACTTCAACGGGGCTCAAGTGCACATCTATACCACCCTACCTTCAATACACAGTATATGTGTATCCCCAGTAGTGGAACATATCAAGCATCATCCCTTGGAGTTATGATATCTCATGACTCGATGTTGGACAAAACACATGGAAGTGTACAGGAACAATGCCATGGATTCTATGATACCCTATCCATGGCCATTAATTGGAGACCGTGACACCTAGGCTCACAAACTGCCTGCCCTTCAAAACAAGCATATGACTCTGACCCACTGTTGGATTGGGGAAAGTATTGCTACCAATGTCCCAGCAGCCCAAGTTATAATACAACTTATGTTCTGCATTCGGTTCGTCTGATTGTGAACCTCTTGAATATCATATCATATCCTATCGCATCATCTGCACAAATATGATCAACCACCTGCAACATAATATTGAAATATACATATTGACCAACCAAACCCATTGGTTGGGGGTGTTGCCTGGATGTCTCCCCTATGCGGCATGGCAGCCCTATTCACAGCAGTTCACCGTCATTCATCGACGGTGCCAACTCTCCAGGCCCTCTCGCATCATCGAAGTCTTTCAAGGCCTCTCGTAGCTGGCCATTCCCCGCAGCCTCCACCTGGATGTGCACGGAATGTGCATGGCTGATCGAACAGAAGGAAGTCAAGTGTCTGGATGTGTCTGGGCCTTGTTTGTAGCGGCAGTTTCACAGGCAATGCTGGGCAGCATGGTGATGAACACAAGAACAGTCTAAGGAAGTGAGCTGAACTTTGCTCCGAATCATCTGATTTGTAAGGGGTTATATACATTGGATTACTGCTCAATGACTGTATATATGGTAGAAAAAAGTCAATTGCTTTCCGAATGGCAATGACTCACAATCATATACAGTAGGGTTTGTCCTAAATCCAATTTACCTGACCGTTTTTAGGACGGCTCACGCACGAAACCGGCGTGACATGTACAATAAGCACAAACACCAAGTGGGACGGTCTCACACAAACCATTTTGGATAAGTGTGGTGGCAAACAAAGCTCCAAAGTTGCTGGTGTGATGTGGCTTGTGGCAAGACATCATTTCACCGTGTTCACTCGAGACAATTTGCACGCCCTAAATGTTCTAGAGTTGATTCCAAATCATCATATTGCTTGCAACCCCCAAAAAAATAAAAACTTATTGCCGGTTCGACCCTAGGGGTCTGGAGGCCCTTCACTCTTCACCCACACCGACTTCGTTCCAAACACCGCCGCCAGTCGAACGGCGCGCCCGTGAAACCGCGTGCGTTCCGCGGCGGCGGCACCAGGAGCTGTCTCATCTCCGAGCGCACGTCCGGCAGGTCGTTGCGGGGATCCGCCGTTCCGCCCCTGGGAGCCGCGCGGCGGGTGAGAGAGGACCATCCAGGGGGACCTCTGGTGTTGGGTGGGTGGGAGGTACTGACTGAGGTAATTACAAGTGGTGTTGACTCTGAAATCATCGTGGAAGTGGTGTCGTCACCTGTTTGATCAATCCCAAGCGGGCCATTTGTCACTTAAAAGAAGGTTGTTTGTTTGGTTTTTTAATATACAGTAATAATAGACAAATGATTCCGAAACGGCATACACATGTGGAACAAATTGTGCCTGAGCCGGACTCTCCAGCAAGGAGAGAAGGTAGGTTGCTGGCTGGTTCCCCCTTCCTCTATTCATCCAAAAGGGTTGACATCATGCGTGCCACATCTGGGTCTAGCTCCTGCTCACTGCACCATTTACGCGAGCAATTTCCTGACTCAATCAGTAAGAAAAGACTGGTGAACATGACACGGTGCAAATGCACATGCTCGACATTTGTGCATATTTGTACATGTCAATGTCTGTTCACACTATGAGGTACTGTTACCTTTCTGTGAGCCTGGACATATGGTTTCGCATGGTTTCGCACTGTTACGCAAAATAGGCGACACCTTCTGGGCAATCTATCCAACTTGTGCAAGATGTAACATCAACACGTGGAAAACCAATGGAAACAGAAAAGAAAGCAGCCCGTCTTGTAAGCGTCAAACCAGTTCCGGTTCCCAGTTTGCACTTTGAAACTGGTCCAGCTGCTGCCACATGTCCCAGCATGCCCAGAGTTTGATCTGACGGCCAGGGCCCGTGCCCCTCGAGATCCACGAAGGACTCCTCACCTGACGGGCTTCAACTTCGGTCTTGCTGCTTGATGCAAGAACATTGAGCAAACCTACTGAGACAAAATCGCCACGACTTGCCTAGCATACCTAAGCTATGCATAACTTTATATGTGTAGATTACACACTTAAAGGAACGCCTTCAATCCCTTTCCACAACGGATCGTGGATCCCAACCTTGCTTGCCAAAAACCCTCTCAGATTCTCTCTGCACCACACAGCTCTTCAAGTTGGCCAGTCCGGGCGAATTTGTGAAGCAAGGAAAACAAGGAAGACAACTAGTGGCTTCTTGTTACATTCGTGGCGGCCTCCAACCTACTTGTGGCCTTCCTAATAGCGTCCTTGTGGCCTCCACCCTGGGACTAGGGCGATTCTGACATCGGATCCAGCATCGGTCCCATGGCATCCCATCGCCTGTAGCTGGGTCTGGGTCCTGAATTGGACATGTTCGGGCGAAAGAAACGCGGTGGTGATTGGATGCGAACGTGAGGTAAGGGTAAGGTTTAAAGCCACCACTCCTACATACTCCTACCACGTGAAGTTGTCTGCCAAATCAATCTGGGGGTGTCTTCAAATAGTGAGACATGAAAAACATGACAAAACAAACTCAGCACCCACGAGAACGGGTTGGGAACCGGAATCCTGTGGACCAAGGGTCGCCAGCCTATCACTATGCTAACTTGCGGAATAGCCTTGTTCAATGTACCAAGGAGTTCCGGGATGCTACCAGGTATGTAATTGCCTGTCCTTCGAAAACAGCATGGCTGGACAGCACTCGAAGACAAAGAAGGACATGCTAAATCGCAACCCCGCAACGCATGAAGCTTGTGTTGTCTTGAACCCACCAGTTGGTTCGGCATGGTCAATCAAAGCTGCCCTGTGACTGGATGGAGAATTGATGAGGATTGGATCAACATGGATAAACTGAGTAGTCCGGTCTCATCAAACAACCTCAAGCAAATTGGTGAGCAAGGTCGCGTTAGAAAGCAAATGTCACTATAAGTTGTTTTCACCCGCTGAGGCTTTCCTATGATAGAATGTCAAAGCACAATCTGTGTAGATGATCCCCAAAATCATATCCACTCCGATGCCGCTGGATGGAATTCATCCGCCCACGGCTGCATTCATCCCCTCCCCCGGCTTCCCGCCGCGCAGCTCCTGCTTCAGCTTCATCGGCTTAGAGCCGGGTTTGGCCCCGGTCACTGGCATCAGCTTGGGTTCTTTCTTGCTGCCCTGGCGTTGAGTCTGAGGTTTTGTTCTCTGATTCATTTCCATGGGCTCTTGATTGACCCCGACTAATCTAGTGGTGGTAGAAATAAAATAAAGGTCCATTAGCAACAAGGGGGCAGAAGTTGAAAAGAATTTCAAAAACCGGTAAGTAAGGGAAGGTAAACCTCGATGAAACTGGATTTTGCTTGGTTGCACCATGTCACCTGGGAAGCATTCCCAAAACCAGGATGTGGGTTGAAGCGGAACATTGCGGAGCACAACATTTCACGGTCTTGTCGGACCGTCCGTTTGCACCCTGTTTTGTTTTTTTGGGTTTGCTTGCAATGATCTTGCAACTGGTTCTGAAAATGCTTGTGTCATCCTTGTGCAGGAGTACACACGCATATATATATATATACACACACACATATATATATATATAATCATATAAGTCTCCCATTATCTCTCATCAGAACAGCATTTTGGATGGATTTTGGATCACCTCAACTCCTCAGTGAGACTCGACGAGGCCCTTGGGATGGCTGGTGGGTGGGTGTGTGTCCAGACAATTGGGAAAGGAACCCCCAAAACCTCCCAGGTCTCAAGCAACCACCCTGTGATCATGAAAATAAACTTCCACATACTTCCAGTGCCACCTTACAGGAGACACAGGAGCTTGTATCAGCTCAGAGCCGCGGATTAAAAGCCACATCAAATCATTCAAATGTACTGTATGTTCAAATCCTTGTTTTCGAGTCACTGTTCCATGGAAAAACATTCGATGGGGCCGTCCATGGGTGCCGAACACCCCGGGGACCGGGCGCCCATGGACCCCCGGGTTCCGCGAAGTCCAAACTCAGAGGGCACCGAGAGGTACTTGCAAATGAAGTCCACTGGCTCTGTGGGCTGCTCCTCCGGACGAACAAAAGAGGCTGCCAAGCTGATTCGACCGCCAGTGCCAGGATGCCAGTGATGATAACATATCTTTTAAGTCTTTAGGTTGTCATCTTGGTGAATAAAGTAGGATGCAGTGATAAAGGATGATATATAAAGGATCTGCAGATCAAATGAGCGAAACGGCTCCAGTAGATTCAGGGCCTCCAGTGGCTTCAAGTGATGGGCTGACTAACACAAACATTTCAGGTGCAATCCCTTGAAACATTGAAACATGTCTTCTGAAACACGTGGTGCTGCGGGTGGTGCTGCGGGGGTGCAGGTTACACCCAAAAGTTCCACCCCAAAATGCGTTTTTCACCATGTTTCACCACTCCTCACCGTCCACCGAACCCCCTCGGACCCCCTGGGCGCTGACCAAACCGGCACGGTTACGCTCGTCTCAAGGTCTCCTTGAGCAAGGCCTGTGTCGCCAGCGGCGGTAACAACGGTATTCATGCCTTAAAAAACTCCCACCTGGTGGTAGTGGTAAACAAAAACACATTCCACTGACTTGCACCGTGAAAAATCCAAGATTGCTTCAGTTCTAACTGCCATAAAATTATTCGATCTACTTGATGCTTGGGGATCCGGTTGGTTTCTGCAAATCCATCAGGGCATGTTGCACTCAGGTTGGGGTTGTTCTTCCACCCCAAGTCATCCATTTTTATGGAACATTGTTGCTTGCATGGTCATAGAAGGGTCATTCATGGGGCCTGTATGCAACTATTCTATATAAATATGATCATATATATATATATAAAGATGTTTGACTCACACCCTTGTTTTCACTTCGCAGCATGTTGGTCAGAAAATAGTCGAAAGAGAATAGAATAGACAGCTAAGACGGTCTGACTATGGACCCCTGTCCAATAGTAGG